CATATAGTCTATCCTGAAGAATGCTCTATATCCACTTAGAAGAATGAATATTCTGCTATTATCAAGGATGTTCTGCGGATGTCCAATAGTGTTGTTTAAGTCTTCTTTTTCCTTGCTGATCTAGTTATTCTATTCATTACCGAAGGTAGGGTATTAAAATCTCTATTACTATTTAATTGTGTTTTCTCCTTCTATTTTGATAGTTTTTGTTTCATGTATTTTGAATCTCTGTTGTTAGATACATATAATCACGTGTTTTTGCATTTCTACTGCTTATTACACATTTTCAAAATTTTTATATCTGGTTTATTTTATTTCATGGTATATCTTCTAGATTTATGTATGTTGCTGCAAATAGCAGGCTTACATTCTTTTAAAGGCCCAAATAATAGAATAATGTTCTGTTTTCCATATATGACAAATACAATGGGATATCGTACTGCACATTTTCTTTATCCATTCATCTAGTGGCAGGTGCACAGTTTCCATTTCTTGGCCATTGTGACAGTGCTGCGAAGAACATGGGAGTGGACCTCTCTCTTCAATACACTGTTTTCATTTCCTTCAGATACATACTTAGAATACACATTTTCACATAAGTGTGAGATAATTAAGTTTGATTCCATTATACTTAAACATATTTCAAGACAGGCAACAATAATCTAGAGGAAAAGTCACCAAAGTTTTCTGTGAGGTGCCACAGAATAATTATTTTAGACTTTGAGAGCTCTATGGTCTCTTGCAACTACTCAACTCTACTATTGTAGCACAAAAGTAGCCATAGAAAATATGAGGCTTTGTGCAAGCATGCTCTCTCTTTCCTCCCTTCTGTGAAAACAGACATATAGTCAAATATTTTCTTTGTAAACTGTAACTGCTACTACTGAAATGACAAAACTCATATAAAAGGATTGTTTTGGGGAGGTAGAGAATGACTGTAGACAGACCAATAAAGTTCTACAATGTATTTATTAAGTAGGGATTTGTTGAGTAATTGTGTGAGCAATGGAAATGGTAACTTATTTAACTGCCTGAACTTCTGTTCCACTGAGAACAACTGACATACCTTGCCTTTCAAATAAAGTGAGCTTTCTTTATATATTTGTGGCTCTGTCTTTATTCATCTATCTCATCCTAATATCCAAGTCTGGACCATATATAAAGAAATTGATAAATATGTTTTCAATCACAAGTAGCTTACGAGTCAGACAAGTTTCATTTGGACATTATGTTTTTAGAACTGAATTTTAATGTCTTTGTGGAGGGCATGCATTCTACAATTTACCACAGATCTTACTGAAAAGAATAAGAATGTCAGGCTATTCAATCTCAAATATTAACTATCAAAAAATCATGAATTCCCTGGGACACAAGAGCATAGGAAAAAGAGGTGAAGACCTTAAAGCAAATTAAAGGCAAGTAAAGGGTCTAGGAACAGTCTCAGTGGTAGACAGCTTGCCTGGCATGCATGTGGCCCTGGGTTCCATCCTCAGCACCTACGGTTGGGGCAGTGGAGGGTAAGGGCATAGGAAAAGAAAATTTATTCATGTCATCTAATACTAGCGCCAACTATTTGAAGAGTCTTTGCTGGAGACTATGAGCATACACAGGTGGTTGTGACACAAAAGACAGCATACACATGACAGTCCTATAAACATCCAAAACAACAGCCTGCATTAATGGAACACAGAGGATTGAGATAACATGCTTGCCAAAAATGAAAATGAGGAAACACAGTAAGAGTTGCCTGGGAGGTAAAGAATGTACAGTGAGTTGAGAGGAAGGACGAATTACTTCTGGCTGGAGGATGAAGAGGATATGGGGTGTTTTAAGGACGAAAAGGGGTCAAATATCTCCAAGTGCCATGAAACCTATTGGCACAAAGATAACATGAAGGCTCCTCAAACTTATCTGTCTGCAACTGAATCTGTCATTCATCATCTCCGACTCCTGTATTTCTTGCTTAAGTTAAGAGACTATGTATTGAGAAGTTTACTTATTCAACAAATGTTCACTGAGTGTCTGGTATGTTGGGGGCACAGGTCTAGTAAAGGAAACAGACACTGGAGAAATAAACAAAAAATCAGAGAGGGACAACCCACTTTCTGAGCTTTTCTTTCTCTCAATAAATTCTTCCTACTGTTAAAAGAAAAAAGCAGTACTTGTTCGAAAAATGTAAGAAGAATGTTAGGTCGGGTTTAGACCTCTTTGAGGTGAAGGAAAAGCAGCCAGGAAGGTTTATGATAGAAGGGGAGGTTCTCAGTAGAGGAAACAGTCTGGGTAAAGCAACTGAAGGAGCAAATTAGAAGTTCAGTTTTCTGTAACCATAGCAAGGAAAAGATGGAGCAAGTGGACTGGGAAATGTGGACAAAAAGGTAATCACAGCTTTGCATTTTCTGTTATAAATTCTGGGTGACGTTTTAAAGGTGGTGAAGCTACCAAAGAGACAGAGCAATGAAAATACAGATGCCTTCTCGTGAGGCAGCATGGTGCGGGATACAGACAGTTCAAGAACTGACTTCAGTCTGTGTCCTAAATGTTAAGAGAGGGGGAAAGTCACATGCCTTAAGAACCTTGATGAAGGACATCTGGACTGGTCAGAGAAAGGCACGTTCACAGTCCCTACGTAGCCCGCTGCAACAGCCTTTAAGTCAGTTATGCAGTCTTCAGTGTCTATCTTACACACTGCCCATCATCTTCCTTAGCACAAAAGACAGCATGCCACTCCGAACCATCTACAGATCACAGAAGGTTGAATTCCAAACTCCTTGATCTTGCATCACTGGCCCTAAATTTTAGCTTCTTTCTCTAAACTCCCACTACCCACCAAAATCATTTAATTTATTCAACTCATAGTAAGCAATACATTTTATGCATAAAAGAAACAATTCAAGTAGAATCACTCTGATACTTTCTATTTTACACTATTTTTCTTTTCTATAAGTGCAGACTATAGCTAGGCATGGAGACACACATGTGTAGTCCAGCACTTGAAAGGCTGAGGCTAGAGGATCATGAATTCGAGGCCAGCCCAGGCTATGTAGTAGGTTGTTTTGTTTTGTTCTGTTTTGTTTTATTTTGGACAAGCTCTCACTATGCACTGGCCTTGGACAACGTAGCCCATACTGGCCTCAAACGTGCATGATCCTCCTGTTTCAGCCTCACAAATGCTGGGATTTTACAGGCATGTGTCACCACACCTGGTTACACAGTAACACAGTAGGTTTGAGGCCAGTCTAGGGTACCTAAAACTGTCTTTGAAAAATGTGGTGGTTGTGACTTATCCATGTCATGCTAGGTCCTGACCTGCAGTTTGAAAACCACTGACTGCTCCCTCCATTGCTCTCTTTCCCACCTACATCTGTTCTTTCACACTTCAACCAAGTAGTCCTGAGTGCCAGGAATGCCTCACTTTCTTCACTTCTCCTTCACACAGTAAGTTCCTACTGACCTCTCAAGACTCAGCCCAAATGTTAGTTCCTCGGAGAAACCTTTCTAGATTCTGCTCTAGTCACGCTTCCAATTGCAAGGGTCACAGGGTTCAGCACACCCTGAGTGACAGCATTTGTCAATGTATTATGACTTCTTTAAAAAAGAAAACAAATCAGTTTGCTTTGAACTATGTTTCTGGATGTCAGTAATCTAGCTGTTCTATGCCAGGTCCAAAATAGGGCCTAAACTGCAACAAAAGCAAGGGGATGTAATGCTGGGTACCTGAGAACTGACTTCACCTTGCCCTAGCCTTCCTCTAACCTCACCATCTTAGCTGTGTACCCACCAACTGGCCCTTTCCCTATTCCTCAAACATACCAGTTATTCCTACCTCAAAGCCTACCTATCTCACTCTCCTCATGGCTATTTGCATGGCAAGATGTTGTTACTGTATCTTTAGATCAGTAATCTATTCCCAAGGAAATGGATTATATCTCCTTTACTTGTCTTACAACACTTCTCTGAAATTATTGCTTTTTCTTGGACAGGGTCTTGCTATGTAGTTCAGGCTGACCCTGAACTCACTATGTAGCCCAGGCAGCCTCTCTAGGGCTGGGATCACAGATACGTGCCACTATCCCTGGCCCTTAAAATTGTAATGCTTACTCTGTGCTTGTCAGTTTTTTGTCTAACAAGCACACTCTAGAAGGAACAAATCTACCCATTTGCCCCACTAACTTCAGCACCTAGAATGGCATACCACACATAATATGACCTCCAGAAAAATCTGCTGATGAATCAGCAAGCAAGAGAGGAAGCAAACAGGCCATAGTATTGCTGATAGCTAAGTCAGGCAGTGATTGATAGAAGGGACTGGGCCTAAGACAGAGTCAGCACAGAGATGAGGCAGACCAGGTCTGTGGTTGATGGGGATGAGCTGATGGAAACTAGGCCCCACGATGGAGACACTACAACTAGGCCTACAAGCATCCCCAAAGATAAACAAAGCTATATTGTACCTAGCACCATCTGGTCCAATACACCTAAATCAAACAACAAACATGTAGAAATAAAGTAACAAACATGTAGATAGATGACCAGAACACTCTAACCCTCATCGCGACCCCTTCCAGAAACGTCTGTTCTCCTTGCTATGGCATCTTGTTTTTCTGTTAGATCAGTATAAGCTAAGTGACTATACTTGTAAACCTATCGGTTGATTAGTTTGACCAAAAGCAACCTGTGAGGTGATTTTAAGACAAAGCGCCACAGCGGCAGCCCACTTTTGCGACCCCTCCTGCCTCTCAGGAGGATTCTCTTAACAAAACTTTAATACTCTTCACCTCCTTTTTCCTCGATTCCATTCGCCAGCATTGGCACCCTGAGACAGGAGCTCTAATAGATGGGGAGTTACTTCACTGTAACAATAAGTCTTAAGAGACCTACTTGGAAGACGCCTTGAAGGGGTCCCTGGCAGAACCAGGAGCTAGGACTTAAGCACACAGCCTAGAGCCGGGACAGGGACAGAAAGGGAGTTGAAGCGCCGGGTGCCACGCTCCAGGGCCTACCAGTAATAAGTGACTGTGCAAGCCGTGCACACACGTTCAGCCGGGGCTTCACACACCTCACAGCAGAGCCGACGCCCCTTGGGAACCGCCAGGGGGTAGATGACATTCATGTTGCAGCCGGCGGCGTCGGTCTCTAGGACTGTTGCCGGGTGAGGACGCACAGGACACCCGTGTCACGTGACACCGTTGGACAGTCGCGTTCCCGGGGTTTCAAGGGGAAGAGGGAAGGGTGTGGAATAACTGCCATAGGGGTTTATTTCTGAAACAACAACCAAAAAAAAATAGAAAAGAACGGAAAGGAAAAGAGCGAAGACAAACTCCACGGAACTAAACTAAAAGTTAAACCAGTCATAATTGAACCACAATGGAATCTAAGGAAAGGAAGTCTGTACGGTAGCCCGGAAGGGTCAAATGCAGCCAGCTCTTTACCCAGACTAAGACATTAACAGGGCAAAATGTGATTTTCCCAAATATCCACCCAACAGGGAATGAGGTGCTCTGTCACTGTCCCTAGACTCTGGGGCAAAACACCACGCGTTTCCGCACTTGGCGCGACGGCGAGCCCATCAGCCCAGTTACAGTAGCAAACCGCCCACTCCGTATTGCGGCTGCGCACGCCCCAGGTACGGGCGAGAGGCGTGGCGCCGGCGGCCGCGCGGGCGCGAGCACCGGGACGCTGCGGCACTGATGGCGGAAGTGGACCTGGGCGCCGAATTCCCCCGGCCTGCGGGTGCTGCGCGCTGGGCCGAGGTTATGGCTCGCTTTGCCGCCCGTCTGGGCGCGCAGGGACGGAGGGTGGTGTTGGTCACGTCGGGTGGCACCAAGGTTCCTCTGGAAGCGCGGCCCGTGCGCTTTCTGGACAACTTCAGCAGCGGGCGGCGCGGTGCAGCCTCGGCGGAGGCCTTTCTGGCGGCGGGTTATGGGGTGCTGTTCTTGTACCGTGCTCGTTCCGCCTTCCCCTATGCCCATCGCTTCCCGCCTCAGACCTGGCTGTCGGCCCTGCGACCTTCTGGGCCAGCCCAGGCAGGCATGCTGAGCCTGGAAGCCGAGGAGAATGCACTACCGGGCTTTGCTGAAGCTTTGCGGAGCTATCAGGAGGCAGCGGCTGCCGGCACCTTCTTGGCCGTAGAGTTCACCACTTTGGCGGACTATTTGCATCTGCTTCAGGCTGCGGCTCAAGCACTCAGCCCTCTAGGTGGGTGCTTTAGGAATCCATCGGTGGCCTAGAGGCTGAGGCTTTCTCCCCAGCCACTTTCCCCCATACACTGTACCTTCTGCTTAGCCAGCGGACTCACAGCAAGGCTTCCGAATTGAAAAGGAACTGACCCCATACCGTCCCCGATTTGTTACACCATCTGCTTCTCTTTGCAGGCCCTTCTGCGATGTTTTACCTGGCTGCGGCCGTGTCAGATTTCTATGTTCCTGTCTCTGAAATGCCTGAACACAAGATCCAGTCATCTGGGGGCCCACTGCAGGTGATGGGCGCTTCTCTTCCAGAGATCTGATCCCCTATAACCAATCTCGGGTTAATTTACTCTTGATCTGGAGATGGCCTTTCTGCATTCTGTATGCGCTAGGCACTGGGGATACAGAGATGAATAAAGACACCGTCCTCCCTCAAGGACCTCAATCTAGCGAGGGAGCTGGATACAGACATAATTACAATACCGAGTGATAAATGCTGTAGTGGAGGTATGTACTAAGTGCAGTCAGATCATGGAGTGAACTGGGGGAGTGGAGGAAGTCTTCCTGGTGGAGAAGACTAAGGTTTTAAAAGATGAGTGCAGGGTATAACAAAAGTGGCGAAGGCCATTACAAGTGGAGTTACACAGTGATCATTTGGAACTGAAGTGCTTTTACGAGGCTAGAGAGCAGAAGGAAGGAGCAGCTTGCTTCGTAGAAAACTTACTCTTTTTTTTGGTACCACGAATCCAACTCAGGACCTTACACTTCCCAGACAGGCACTGTGCCACAGAGCTACATCCCCGGCCCAACTTATTCCTTCTTAAAAAGCTGGACTTTCTCTTGTGCAGACAAGGAGAATAAGCAGAAAAATAAGATAAAGTTTTTGTTTGAAAAGAACATTCTATATCATTTTGAAAGGTAATACCGGGAGAGAGTAAAGGAAGTACACTAGTTGGGGTTATTATAGATGAAGAGGTATGGGGAGGGTAGTGCTATGGTTGTGATTACCTGCTGTCTTGGAACCCAAGGAAGTTCTAGGTCGGTTATTGGGTAATACAAGTAGAGTTTATACAGGAGAACTTTACGTGTGGAGCAGCACTTACATGGTTAGTTCACTTGTTCTTTCGGTAAATATTTACTGTGTAGCTACTATATGCCACGTACCATTATAGGACCTGGAGGTGTAAACTGTGAAAAGAAATACATTTAGCAAGGGAAGTCAAATGCATACTGTATTTGGTAGGAAGCACTAAGGAGAAAAAGTGGGGAACTGCTCTGTGATCCCTTTTATACTTGCTAACAGCTCTTTAGGGGAAATCCTGATGATTAGCTTAGAATTTTACACTTTCAAAAATTCTAGGGTCCTTAGTGTATCCCACATTTTTAAGTTCTGCAGCATCGTGAAAGTACACAAAATGATAGGACTCCCCTTTCAAGATACTAGGAAAAAGGTAGTAGGAATTAAGATAAGGTAAAAATAAATTCACTTGCTTGCTCAGGACTAAGTTGTGTAATTTTTCCTCTTACAATTCCACTTGTAAGTAAATGAAATCCACTAGCCACTCTGCCAATGTAAGAAATACTTTAGACTGAAAGATTTAAAAACGCAGTCTTACTGGGTTTCTGCCAAAGCAAAATTTACACAGATTATTTGTGTTTATTTGTGGATTTGCTTTTAAAAAAATAAAGGGAAATATTTAAGAATGTAATGAGGTGTAGAGCAGGGGTAGTTCTAGAAAATACGGTTTGCCAGAATATGTCTTAAATTTAGGCATTGTTATGAACCCCACAGAAGCAGGGCTTTAAAACTAAGTAAAAGGCTTTGAAATGTGATAGTGAAAAATCCCCTTACATTTTTGTAGACAAAAATCTGAGACCCTCATTCCTGAATTTCCTAGTAGATGGTGACCACTGTTTGCTAATTAAGCTTTTCTTTTTCCAATACAGATAACTATGAAGATGGTGCCAAAAATGCTTTCTCCTTTAGTTAAAGATTGGGCTCCCAAAGCATTTATAATTTCCTTTAAGTTGGAGACTGACCCCTCCATCATCATTAGTCGTGCTCGGAACGCTTTGGAAGTTTATCAGCATCAAGTAGTGGTGGCTAATATCCTTGAGTCACTACAGTCTTTTGTAGTTATTGTAACCAAAGACTCAGAAACCAAGTTGTTGCTATCAGAGGAAGAAGTAGAAAAAGGCATGGCAATAGAAGAGAAGATAGTGGATAACCTTCAGTCTCGACACACAGCTTTTATATGTGACAAAAACTGAACTGAAAAGGTCTTACAGGTTTAAAAATTGTTCCATGGACCAGAGCTTTTATAGAGTGCAAGAACTAAAATAAACTCTTTGGGTTTATAAGGACAAAGGGAAGGGTAAAATTCATGGTGTGCAGGCAAATATGGGTTGGTATTTGTCTTAATGACTGAACCACCCAATAAAATCACCTGAACGTTATCTGGATTTGGAAATTGAACACTAAAACTGTGCCTCACCTTTAAAAGAAGTCTATTGAAAATTACATATTTCACAAAATATAATGGGCTAAATGCTGAATATCAGCCTGCTTTATAGTATAGAAAGAGGATTATGGATGCATAAGTGGTCATGCTTTGAAGATTAAGTATTTGGTGAGTGCCTACTATGTTTCAGGCCCTAAGCTAAATGATGAGGTTTAAAAAGATGAAAAAATATGATTTGTTTGGGAAATGGATGTATAAAAATTTAATAAAGTGTGTGCCCACAAAGTAACACACAGAAAGAATGTTTGTTTTTTGGAAACTTACTAAAAATGGAAAGACACTTCCTGAACATAGGTGATGGCCTGTAGATTGCAGAGCTTCCAACTACATTTACCTTTTGCTTCTTGCCCTAGATTTACCCCATATTTGAGTAATAATTTACCTCTCAAATATTTTGGAACTCCTCTTGAAGTAAACTTAACAGAGGCTTCCTTCTGCTACCAGGCAGGGACCAAGTGGTGAGCTCTGTTCTGTGGTAAAGAGTAGCGGGTATGGAGACAACTTAGCCAGCCATGCTGAAAGGAAAAAACTACAAGAGAAATTGTTCTTTTTAAAACTTTGTTCTTTTGAAACTGCCTAGCTCTATAACTGCTTCATGGCTTTGTAATTACTTTCTTGACCCCTGTGACCATGAAAGTGTAACCAAACATACAGGATGCCTGGTTGTACCATTATACCAAGCTTCACAAACTGATAATCATTAATCTAGCCTTGTAACCAATGATCTCACCCTGCTATCTAATCAAAAGAACTGCTAGGCTCTTCAGTCTTGCCTTTGCACCTCCTTTATACCCCTTGCTTGTGCATCATATAAAAGCCCTAGACCATCAGAGATTGGGGCCTGATATTTTGGGAGTGATCCTGATAAGTGCCCATCAATGTAAATAAATCTGCCTCCAAAGCCTGGGTGTCGTTTTGGTGTTTCTGCTTGCCATTGCCATGCCACCTATTAGCTTTATAAATGTAGGCACATATCTTGATCTCATGTATAACAGAATAATAAATCTCTGCAAAGTGATACTGTTGTGAGGATTAAGTAAAACAAGGAAAATGTCTGGTGCCTGGCAGTTCACATTTATCAATGATTGAGATGATTATTTTTCTTACTTAGCAACACTTGCCAGTGTCATATTAGAGCCCTGCTTGATCCTTGAGTCCTTGATTACTCAAAGCTCTTTTCATAAGTTTGGGCATGAAAGAAGTAAACATTATACATAAGAAGTATAATGCAGGATCCCCTGAGTGATCTGTAGGATGGTCCAGAATACAATTTGAAAAGCTACTGTTACTAACTACATTAATTGATTAAGGGGGTAAGAATGTAGTTCAGTGGAAGAATGCTAACCTAGCATGCACAAGGCTCTGGATTTTATCCCCACCGCCACCAAATAATAAAATACAGTTCATGCCAGGCATGTTGGTACAGGCCTGCAGTCTGAGCTATTCAAGAGGCTGAGGCAGGAGGATCACAAGTTTCAGCCATGTAGCTCAATGGTAGAGTGCCCCTGGGCTAATCCCCCCACCTCAGATACAATTCATGATATTTCATGAAGTTGGGAATCCAGTGTATTCTGCAGACAACAGAAATAACAAATTCTAGTTGAGAAGATTTGAAGTTGCAAGATACTTCATTAAAGCAGAAAGTGTGACATTGAGCAGAAGAAAAATAACTGCAGCAGCCAAGACTGTTCTGGAAACAGCAGGTATTTGAATATGAACTTAAGGTCCAATTGGCAAGACCTCAAAAGCAGGGGCTGCAGTGTTGATGGCGCAGGAAGTAAAGATTGATTTTCCTCCCTACATTCATATCCTCACATGGGTAATGACACTTCTTTCAATGTATAGTGAGGATAAAGGATTAAACTAGCAGTGATCTTTATGATTATTACATCTTGTGGGAAACCCTTTTTGTTCATGCCCAAAAATCACCACATGGAATACAAGTGTTTTCTCCACTGTATTATCTATTCAGAAGACTTAAAAAACAGTATTTATACAAGTAAAAATTCCAGGAGAGAGAGAGAGAGAGAAGCAAACAAGTGTTTAAAGAAAAAGGAGCATGAGTCAATGAAAGCAAATAAGAAGGAACTTGATCCAGATTGGAGGACCAAGAAAACTCTCCTTGAGGTGATGGTGAAACTGGAATTAAGAGGGCTGCAGGTGATGAGCATTTAGATCAGAGAAAAAGTACTTGCAGAGGGTCTGTTGCCAGTGGGAAAAGGTGAAACACTTATATAAAATAAGGAGAAAGATCCATCCAGATACATAATACATATAGAGCCAGCAAAGGTTTGAAAAGATTTGTAATTAAGAGTATGACCAAGAAATGTACATAATGTTTGAGATACTAGTAAAGCAAAGGCGCCCCAAAACTGAGTGAAGTGAGCTCTGATAAATAGCTGGAATCTTGACCTGGGGGTAGGGAGTGACATTTAAAATGATACGTAAGTTTTGTTAAATTATGTGGCATTTGAAGTTTTAGTTTGCATTACATAGTAAGAGATACGACTCACCCTAAGCCAAATTCCCAGTGCTTGGTACTTAAGAGCTTCACCTTTAGTGATAATTGTGGTCAGTCCTGTTTCTTTATTTTTGCAATAAGCTGGGTCCTATAGTGTGATTTCTCAGGCACCCCAGGTGATTTATGGCAATTCGAGGCCTAAAATTCAGAATTCCAGACCTAGTACCCTCTCCCTTTTAAGGATGAGTCAACTTGAAGAAAAATCTAAATTAAGCAGGCCGGCGGGAACATACTCGACAACTAGAATGTCCGGTTACGAACGGTGGCAAGTCAGTTGCAAATACTAGCCACTAAAATTATTCCGGTTACTTCAGTCTCCAAGCCAACCGGCTGCGCCGTTCTAATAATACAGCTGGAAGAGGTCCGCCCACGACCCAAAGGCCAATGGTGTGCGCCGTAACAATGTTCCGGCAGGAAGCGCAGACCTGTTACCAATGGCCTGCGTCGTATCTATGGTTCCCGCCGGAAGGACGCCTTTGCGTCGGCGCGGCTAGCGCGGTTGCTATGACGCCCTGGCTTCGTAGGCACCTGCGAGCAGCTTCTCTTGGGCCGGGAACTTAGCGACGCCGGGACCCCTCCCGGTACCCGCCAAGAGAAAATTGTTGGCCTTATTACTGAAGTTCCAACTCAGCCTCGAGGAGGAAAGCATACATTCTCCCCCTTTCCCACGTTTCACGTCTTTTCCGCTTCTCTCCCAAGGATGGCCCGAAACTACAGGAGGAGCGCCTTTCTGGCTCGGCATTTCTAGCCCCAGGTTGGAGCGAAACTGCCGCAGGGATTCTCCCGGTTTGCGGGACCCAGCTGCCGTAGGCATTTACTATTAGGGCGCCGCTTTTATTTAGAGAGCGGCGTAGGACGCGATCAGTGAGTTAGGGAGGCGTTGCTTTTCTCCCCTTTCCCGGTTGAAGAGGCCGACCCCCGCCAGATGCCGGCTCCCTGAGGCCAGGCATTCCAGAGTCCACGGAGGCGCAGCTTACACCTACTTGTAGGCCCGGGAACAGAGAACTGCCGTTTCCCGCTTTTCTGGCCGATGTTCGTCTCGCAGAACCTTGAATTCCGATGAAGCTCTGGAGGCCCTTGGTAACCTCAGCGTCGGAGGTCATCAAGTCAGTTACCTTTGCCTTTCAAGCTACAACTTCATCCGCTTCTCTCATCACTCTGAGCACCAGCTCCTGGTCCTGTTCATTCCACCACCACCTTCACCCTTCCCTGTTCGTACTGCACATTTTTGAGTGTCCATTCGTCTGTTCCACTTCTGTCCTTCATAGCGCATCTCCTCCTGTCTTCTTGCTCTGGCGCTTTGCGCGCCTAAGTATTTCACATCCTCCAGCTATACAATCCTCGGGAAATTTTGCTCTGTTTCTCTGCACCGTGGCGAACATTTTGTGGGGTAAACTAGAGACTCGAATGGAAAAGTACACATTGCTGAATACTTTACATTGCTGACAACCTCGTGTGTTTTGAAAAGGGAGGAAAAAATAACGGTTTCGGGCCCATTTCAGGCTTATATAAAGAAAGTTGCTCCTTGCTGATAATTCAGTAAATGTTAGACGAGGAGTAAATGTTAGCGACGTGTTTATAACTTGTGAAAGTATCCAAAAACGACTATATAATAGAGATGTTCAACTTGAAGCCCACATGAACCCAGCGCCTGGGGATGGTAGAATTGCTAAAGATAGGGTACTTGAAATGCTTATTGTGCCTCTTTTTTTTTTTTTTTTTTTTTTGGTTTTTCTCCGGTACCGGGAACCGAACTGACGACCTTGCGCTTGCCACGCAGGCGCTTTGCGGCTGAGCTAAATCCTCAGCCCTTATTGTGCCTCTTTACGTTAGTTTCGGAATCAGAAAACGTTGTATTTGATGTGAACCAACAAGGAGTGATTGAAAATAAATGCTTTTGGCAACTAAGCAGGCTCAGTAGTCTAATAGACTTACAGATGGGCTCTAAGATTAATTCATTAATTAGTAAAACTAATTTGGATCCAATGAAATTTTATTTTAGCTTGGGAAGCTTGATTTAATTTGTCTTATAATTTGTGTTCCTTCTTGCCTCATTTCTTCCTCGCTGTTTAGGTTTAAATATAAAACTATTTTGAGAATATATAAAGTACACTTTTTTTTTTTTTCCAGTATCGGGAATCAAACTCACGACATTGCGCTTGCTAGGCAGGCGCTGTGCCGCTGAGCTAAATCCCCAGACTCCTAAAGTACACATTTTAAACAGGTATGAGAACTGTAGTGGTTCAGACATTTTTATTTCTCAGGCTAATTGAAGTAATATTTGTGATATTTCATTCTTAGGTTTCCAACTACTGAAAAGTCAACTTTATAGTAGGTTAGAAAAGAAAAAGAAGCTCTTCAGCTTTTTCCAACTGTTCATATTAAATGGAGCTGAGTAAATTTTAACTCTTGCAAAGGTAGGCTAGTGGATGCTGTTTTATAAGGAGCTGTCCTCTTCCAATATGACAAGGTTATTACAAAATAAAATTTTGTACTCTAACACAGTTCTAACCCTGGCGGAGGCAGCTTTCCCCCTAAGACACACTGGGCAGTGTGGTTGTCACACCGGGCTGTTGGTAAAATACACGGTTGCTGCTGTACATCCTCCTGTGTGCATAGAACAGCCGGTGAAACAGAATCAGTTGCCCAGGCCAAATCGTCAGTAGTGTCAAGGTTGAGAAATTGTCCTAATATATCAACAGTTTTTCTCTTCTGTGTACAGTCTTTTCTCACTTGTGTACATTTTTACATAGTTACAATGTACATTTTGCCTTTTTTGCGTAACTTGCTCTTTTTAAACTTCCCACATTGCTGCATTATTTTCAACATTTTTTTTTAAAGTGTGTTTTTCTTTTGGGAATTGAAAAGGAAAAAACTGTACAGTGCTATATTCAGGATGTCTGGTTGTTTGTTTTTGCCTGGTGCTGGGAACAGACCCCAAGGATGCTCTACAACTGAGCTACATTCCCAGGCCTTCCTATTTGTTTTTTTGTTTGTTTGTTTGTTTTCTTTGAGACAAATTCTCCTAAATTGCCCAGGTTGATCTCAAACTTGTGATTCTCCTGCCTCAACCTCCCAACTATCTGGGATTATAAACATACGCCACCATGTCTCACTAGATGTCTGTAATTTGTAAGTTATATTTGTATAAAAGGAAGAAAAAAGCTTAAGGCGAAAAAGCCTGGGGTAGGGGGTGGGGGTTGGGCCAGGGAATGAATGAGGAAGGTAGTTAGCTTTAAACATAGAAGTTAAGCTGCTGGGGGGCAGGGGGAGGAGACATACAATATTGTCTCAACATCTGCCTTTCTAAAATTTTCAAAATTCTCAGCCATCAGGCCTCAATAAGTCCACTGGAAAAATGTTTGCTCTGGGATGTCATAACACCATTTTAAGGAGAGGGACCTGAATGTCCAAAGTCAAGGAATTACAGAAGCCTGGTGGGATCAGTTAGTATCTGGCATGAAAGGCTCACACCAAGGAGCACCAGAAAGTCGGCCAGACAGAGGGGAGGGCCCAGACTGTGGAGAATTCCTGGTGCCAAGTTTAAGGACTTGAACTCTGCCCAAGACAAACCACCGATGCTGTGCATTCAGAGCATGTATTAGGTGGGGTGGACTGGCAGCAGGAACACAGTTAAGCATGCTGCCATACCACACTGACGGACAGTGAGATTGTGGGCAACAAGTAAACCAGAGTTATCAGGTAGTTCAGAAGCGGGGGGATGGACCAGACACCGGAGGTCTCACTGTCATCGTCGGATAAGTATCGTTTATGAGAGCAACCACTTGACATTCATTAGGATGACTTCTACAGGATGAATATATGGTCCTGTAATATTTATTCTACTTTTCTTCCACAGAAATATGACACAAGTTGGTTTTGTGACTGATCACAAGGCTGCATTCCTTACTGTCAGATGTTGACGTATGACTAAGTTCTGATTGAAATATGAACACAGACACACACACACACACACACACACACACACTTAGGGTAATAAAATATCTGGAGAAATTGGGACCCTTCAGTATTGCTGATGGGAAAGTCAAGTGGTACAGCTGCAGTAGAAAATTATTGGTGCTCCCTTAAAAAGTTAAATATACAATTATATACCTAACAATTCTTTTCCTAGGTATATACCCCAAATAATTGAAGCAGGGACTTAAACAGATACTCGTACACTGATGTTTATAGCAGCATCATTAGCAATAGTCAAAAAATAGAGAGCCTAAAAACCATCAACAGGTGAATGGATAAACAAAATGTGCCATATACATACAGTGGAATTTTAGCATTAAAAAGGAAATTCTGGCATAGGCCACAACATGCGTGAACGTTATACCAAGGGAAATGAAGGCATTGTACCAAGTGAAGTAAGCTAATACAAGATAAGTCATATATGGTTCCACTGGTGGGATGTCCTTCGGGCAGTCAGAAATCAGAGAGACAGCATGGTGATTACCAGGTCCCTGGGAAGGAGGGAAGGGGATGTTACTGTGTAGTGGGTATGGAGTGACTGGGGTAATAAAAGTTTCTAAGAATGGATGGTGATGATGGTGGACAATGGCAAATGCATTTAATGTCACTGAATTGTACGCCTAAAAATAGTTCAAATGGTGGCTTTAGGGTATGTGTATTTTACCCCAATTTAAAGGAGCAGGGCAAGGAACATAGAAGATACTGGTCAGAATGGGACATTTGGAGTTCAGAATTCCAGGCTTTTACCACCAGTTAGGGTTATGACAGGGCTTGGGGGTAGCCATGGAGATGAGAGGCTAAACAGAAGGGAGGCTAAAGATCACTGCCTGGGGGTGCGCGGCCAAGTGGAGGTGCCCGAATGAGCTGTGCACGTGCATGGTGACCTGACCAGCAAGCCCCTCTTTCTGCAGCCCTGCTTACCCTGCACTGCTTTGTCTCCCCCAGGCATCTCTCCTCTGTCTCCTCTCCAACTTCCTTCAAGCTAAGACTGCTCCGCGCTACCCTGACAACATGGGGGTGTTCTGTGGAAGAAGGAACCCAGAAAACTCACTTTCTAATCACTCATAATCTCACCAGTTTATCACAAGTGCTTTAACACTCACGTATTTTCTTTTTTTTTTTTTTGGTTTTTTTCTCCGGTACCGGGAACCGAACTCACAACCTTGTGCTTGCCAGGCAGGCGCTTTTGCCGCTGAGCTAAATCCCCAGCCCCCACTCACGTATTTTCTTCTAGCCTTCTCGGGTCTAGTTTTCACAGTTACTTATAATGGTACATTTGCATTCTGTCGTTTATCTTATCATTATAACAATTCCCACAGCATAGGATGCTATATATTCCTAGTGTCTTGGGTCCTCTGACATAAGGACTAAAACTAGAAGTAGTTGTATGGTGCTCAGAGACCTTGTGGGGAGAAATATGTGAGTAAGGACCTGATGAGGAGGAGTTGGGGAACACAAGATTTTTAGTTATAAGTCATAGAGAGCACATACGAGGTGCAAAGATCCACACTTGTGGCCTTTTTTCTTTCAGTATGAGTATCATATGATAATTATAATTCTAAATATTGTTCACAAGAACTGTTAATGTGAAAAATGCTAAGACTGGAAAGTAAAATATTTTGCCTTTAAAAAAGCAGAACTGAGGGCTGGGGATTTAGCTCAGCGGCAAAAGCGCCTGCCTGGCAAGCGCAAGGTCGTGAGTTCGGTTCCCGGTACCGGAGAATAAACCAAAACAAAACAAAACAAAACAAAACAAAAAAGCAGAACTGAGCCAGATGTGGTGGTGCATGCCTGTAATCACAGCACTCGGGAGGCTGAGGCAGGAGGATCATTGGGAGTTCAAGACCAGCCTGGGCTACAAAGTGAGCTCAAGGCCAGTTTGAACTGCATAGTGAGACCCTGTCTCAAAAAGACAAAAATAATAATAAATAAATTGTATATAATTATGTAAACTGTTTGCAACATAATAATCATTATGTACATCACTACAATTTGAGTGAGATTAACTTAGAAGTTTATTTGATTATAATAACAACTACTATTCAGTTAGTGGTTCTAGTAATACAGATACTACTTCATCAATTAGCAGATATTTATCTTTAACTCACTGTCATTGTGCAAGCTATTATTTTCAACCTCGAAAAGAAATAAAGACAATATTGATGGCCGTCTTAGATCAAGAACTGTTAGGGGCTTTGGGTGTGGTAGAGCACATGCATAGTGTGTTTGAGACCCTCGATTCAACCCCCAACACCTGCCCACACTACCAAAAAGAAGTCTTAATGCTGAATGATGTAGAAGTCAACATAAATGATAAGACATAATCTAAAATCCTTGACAATGCAGAATTAGGGCATTCTTTACCTTCCACAGGATTCATTTTTTTTTCTATCTGTTCAATAGGGGGAACAAAGACTTCTTCAGGTCTTATAATATTTCGAGGGCCTGTTGGGGGAGATTTTTGAATCATTAAATTGCAGACTTCGAAACAGCGCCGACAGAAAAGCAGGTATTTAAAAAAAACTCCACTGTATGTAATTTGCATTGTCTGTGTCATGTCATCATATTTACTCTAGAAGTAATTATATAGCTGTTCAAAGCTTTAAATTTTTTGATATTGTCAGCTGTTCCTTAATTAAGTGCTCATTATAACCGGATAACATAACAACTAATAGAAAAACTAAAATATGCTTTGTAGAGAACTTCACTCCAGACATATGAATATATATATATGTATATATATGAGATTTCTTGCACCCTCAGTCAAGTGTGTGCATATATACATACATGTGTGTATATATATGTGTGTGTGTGTGTGTGTATTTATCACTTCCACCAAGGGAAAAGTGTAGTTAGGAGACATCCTCCACCGCCTGAGAAAGAAGGAATCGGCTTCCTTGCTGCTACAAAAGAAAACCCTGTCATTTGTTTGGTGCCTGTATCCTGGCACAGTGAACGCAGGCTGAGGATGCCTGCCAGAAATGTAGACACACAGTGAGGCACAGGGCAAAAATGAAAGAATGAAAACGAATAGCACACAGTTTTAAAGATAACCTGTGATTTTGTTCAGTGTTTTTCATTGAATTGGCACATTAAATATCACTGTACAGTTTGCAGAGCACTCACATGTAATCTTTTTTCCCATGAAACAGCAATAGGCTGTATTGGTTTCTGGCAGAGTCACACAGATCGAGTGGAGGTAGAAGGTAGCTTTCACTATGTTGATGTAGTCATCCTGAGCTCAGGAACTGACCCTCTGTGTGGCTGTCTTCTTGAAGGGTGACAAACCTCATTAGTGTACTGTGAGTGGATCTGCTTCCCAAAGATGAGCTGGAATGAACTGGACTCATAAAGATGCATTACATAAATACCCGTCTATTCATTGGCAATAAGAAATACAACTGCTAGAGGAATCACACCAATTTCCAGTGATAGATGTGTTCTCTTACAGGCATATTATCGAGAAGCTAAATTTTACTTATTTTTCCAATGTTTAATTTTTGTTATTAGTACATGTGTGCAGTATGTCCTGCTTACATTCCTTGTGGGAAGTTGGTACATGTCCATAATATACCTTAATTCTTTTTTCTTCACCTTCCTTTCCCCTCACATCCCTCTTCCACAGAAAGCTGAATTTTAATCAGATAGTTACTTGGTGAAATTATTCTAATTCTTTCCACAGTGGAACTGTCCAGACCTGCCCTTATTTCTGTACCTCTTGCATTCTAGAACCAGAGCACCTAGCACTTAGATGGGTAGGTAATATAATTTTTTTTACTATTAATCACTTTTTGATGTTCCTAATACTGATAAACCTACTTCCTGATATAGTCTTTCTGTAAATGAGCTAATAAATTCTCTCAGGTATTCTGGGGACCACTCCACTGTTTCCACATCTCAGAAAAATAATGTGTTCATTTTTAAGTTTAGTTCCTCAAGGGTAGTCCAATTTCCAAATTCTCAATAGGGCAGCTCCTTTAAAACAAAAAGCAGAATAGCGTAATAGAACATAAACACTAGGCACTCAAGTGATAGGGGAGTTGGTGAAAATTGCCTAGAGTGTCTTTTTGTGTATGCTTGGGCAATTTACTCAAAATTGTTCTGTGTAATAGCTTCTTTAAAGAGCTTTTTGAAATTCACACAAGTTAATATGGGTAAAACATTCCACACAGGTACTTGACATCTAACAAGAATTCAGTACAGTATAGCTACTATGATTAGAAATGGATATTATTATTATGTTTTAAAGAAGAGGAGACTGCCGGGCGTGGTGGCGCACGCCTGCAATCCCAGCACTCTGGAGCCTGAGGCAGGAGAATCGTTGCAAGTTCGAGACCAGCCTGGGCTACAAAGTGAGCTCAAGGCCAGCCTGAACTGCATAGCAAGACCCTGTCTCAAAAAGACAAAAACATAGAATAACATTTAAAAAAGAAAAAAATAAAGAGGAGGAGACTGAGGCTTAAAAGGAAGTGGTAAAGAAATTCCTGTGTTCCTTCTCCCAGAGCTTCTATCACTTAGATGGGTAGGTAATATAAATTTTTCACTATTAACCATTTTTGATGTTTCAGAATAAGCTCACTTATTGTACATATTTTGACGAATTGTCTAATTTTTTCCACACAATTCAGTGTAACAATTCAGTTACTTTGGTAGTCTTCTTCTGAGCAGTTCGACATAGTTAAGAGTTCAGTTTTAGCCAGTGTGGTGGCACATACCTATAATCTCAGCATTCTGAGAAGCTGAAAGAGGAGGATGGCAAGTTCAAACCCAGCCTGGGCAAATTAGCAAAACATTATCTCAAAATAAAAAAGGGCTGGGGATGCAACTCAGTGCAGAGGCCCTGGGTTCAATCCCCAGTACCACACACATGCATACAAAAAGTTCAGTTCCTGGTTTTGCCCCACCCGGGTGTGAATTCTAGGTCCTATGTTTATTTGTGTGACAAAATAAGTCTCTTAGCCTTTCTAAATAAGTCTGCCCCCTCACCTGTGATGTGGGAGGACAATCATGCCTTATGGTTGTGGTAACAAATATGTGATGTCCTAACTATAGTGCATGGAGCATATATTTAGCTTTTCAATCTACTGGTCAGCTCCATAAATTACTTTCTGTTAAGCTGTCATATTAGCCAGAAACTATTTCTAACGACTGCTTAAAATTTTAATGTAATTACCTATTACCATTTCCAACATCTTAATCATCAGTGGTAGTGTCACAGTAAAAGAAATTACTGCGTAGATTTTTCTCTGTTCATCAGTATCATGGCCATATTTCATTACACACATATAAGACTTGATTTGAAACTTAACATATTACTAGGGAAAAAAACTTTGTGACTTTCCTAGATATTTGCAGTTAAGTATGATGATATGTACGGGAAGCATGTGTCTCAGAAGAGGGTTGAGCTGGGTGTGGTGGCACATGCCTGAAATCCCAGCACTCAGAGGCTGAGGCAGGAGTGTCGTTGTGAGTTTAACACCAGCCTGGGCTACAAAGTGAGCTCAAGACCAGCCTGAGCTGCATAGTGCGACGTGTCTCAAGAAGACTAAATAAATAAACAGAAGATGGTTGGAAGGAAGTGGAGGTGGGAGAGAGAGACACACACTTAAGGAAAGCTAGGTTTTCGGTTTATTTCTCCAATTATAGTCATGAGAGAAGGGTGATCTCCTAATGGCATTTTCACTGACTGGACTTTTAAGAGAGTTCAAATATAAGCCATGTACTAAAAGTAAGAAAATGCATTGTTTTCTTTTTAGGTGAAAGATTACACAAACTATTATCAAAAGGAAAAGAACACCAGGTGTGGTGGTGCGTGCCTATAATCCCAGTACTCAGGAGGCTGAGGCAGGAGCATTGCCAAGAGTTCAAAGCCATATTGGGCTACAAAGTGAGTTCAAGACGAGCTTGAACTGCATAGTAAGACCCCGTCTCAAAAAGACAAAAAATAAAATTAAATTAAAAGGGAAAGAAGCATTTCTGAAAGTTATGGAAAGGAACATGAACAGCTTAGACATGAATTTAAAGAGCTCCAACTCAAACAGTGTAACTTTTCTATTTATGAAAATGTAAAATTTTTTTCCAATTCTAAACATTAATATGTGACAGTTGTAGAAAATTTAGAGGATGTATAGAAGTAGAATAAAGGGGAAAATTACTATATATTTCACCCCAAGAAAAGTACTTCTTATGTTTTAGGTATATTTTCTGTCTACATTCTGACATAGTCCAAATAGTGTGTGTGAGAGGGACCAGGTGTTAATTTTTTTCAATGTGTGTTACAGCACTCACCACACTGTACCATAATTTCCCTGTCAGCTCTTCTCAATGGAGATCACATCCTAGTTTTAGTGGTTTCCCCACAGCACCTACTTTGTAAAGTACCTAGTGTAGGAAAGGCAAAGCTTTCGCTCTTCTCTTTTAGTTTCGTTTATTTATTTGTTTTGTTTTTTTTTTTTTTAAATGGTTTTTTAAAAAATGGTTTGTTTTTTGCTGGGCTCAGGAATTGATATGTCAGATTCATTTGTTTATTTGTTTTGTTTTTGTTTTTTTTAAAAAATGTTTTTTTAAAAAATGGTTTGTTTTTTGATGGGCTCAGGAATTGATATGTCAGATTCGTTTGTTTATTTGTTTTGTTGGTTTTTTTTTAAATGGTTTTTTTAAAAATGGATTGTTTTTTGCTGGGCTCAGGAATTGATATGTCAGATTCACAGGAGAAAAGCATACAGATTCACTTAATATAACTTCCTGTCATTCATAATAAGAATGTTCCTAAAGAATGTTCCTCTCCTACAAGGTATAGTGGTTCACTCTTGTAATTCCTGTACTGTAGGAGGCTAAAGTAAGAGGATTTTCAAATAGGAAGCCCAGCTTGGGCAATTTAGCAACTTAGTGGAGAGGGAATCTTTCACAAGGGAATTTTCTCCTGCTTTTGAGAAACAGAATTCCTTCTGTTCTTCCAGTCACAATGATATTGTGCCTGTTGTTTACAAGTACCTTTAACTTAAAATAGTCAATATATCAAAGTGGTATATTTTTATCCACTTCAGTAGCATATTAGGGACCCATAAAATAAATGTCAAGTACTACAAAGCTACAGGGAAAAATGGAGGATCCCTTTCTAACAGTCTATCTTTGTCTAACTCTACAAATCAGATGAACAGAGATAATATTATTATCAAAGATTTTATTTACCAGACATCTATCATTTTGTGTGTTCAGCATTTTTCCTTTCCTCGCAGATGTGTCCCATTGGGTATCATTTTCCTGTTAGGACTTCCCTTTACAAGGGTCTACTGATGGAAAAATAAACTTTCGTTCAAGTCTCTGGGACACAGAAAGTTGTCATGGGATAGATTTCAGATGTTCTGCACTTTTCTTGATTTCCATGGATATGAGTTTTACTCTACTGATTTAAATGTTTGCATTGTTTTTATTCACATGATGGTTCCATTTTAAGAGTTTTCTTTAATTTCTTTCAGCATTTTCAGTTATTTTTATAGCAGGGTTCTTCTAGAATTCTAACCAGGCATATTGCAAGAAACAAGAGAATGCTATATGTGCTGCTGCCAATTTTTTGCAATGTTTTTGCACCTGTTTTTGCAATGTAAATTCATGAGAGACTGATAACAGGAGAATGACGTCATTAGAATGGGAAAGTTCACCTACATCTTTTCTCAGCATGTTAATGATTTGGGCTACAAGCAAGACAGCTGTGTGCTGCTTAATGATAGGGTACATTTTGAGAAATGATTTGTTAGAGATTTTGTCATTGTGTAAACACCACAGCGTGTTCTTATAAAACTTAAGACAACTGTAATCATGGCAACATAAATCTCTGAGGCCACTGCTGCATATGTGGTTCATCACTACTGAATTGTCACTGTACAGCCTTGTGACTTGTCAACCTCACGCATCCCACATTTTTCCTCTGAGTTCAGCTGGGCCTCATGTTCTGCTTTGGGGATGCTGATCGTGCAGATCCCCCAGCCTTGGTGCATTTTGCCTTTATTCCCATAACTCTGCAATCTCAGCTCCTTCTTTAGCCCACCTTTATATCAAGCCTAACTTTAAAAAAAAAAAGGAGGAAGTCTTATATTTAGTACAATGTTCCTTTATTTTTTAAAACTTTGACAGGCCCTTAAACATAACAGTATAATTATTGATTGTCAATATTTTATAACACTCTAGTGATGCGGTGATAAAGGTTTTAAGTAGTTTTTCCCATAAGCCTATTTTTTAATAAGCTCTGTTATTTTTAGTGAGCAGTTATGCAAAATACAATTTTGAGGGTTTTTTCAGGAAGACATATGTCTATCACAGCAGAAATGCCCAACGAAAGGATATACTTTTAAAGCGGAACTAATACAGTTTGTTAGTGGACTCAATGTTGGGTGGGTGAAAAGATGAGTCACTGATGACCAAAAGCTTCGTGGCCGAAGCAATAGAATGTTGGAGTTTCTAACTGCCCGATGGAAGAGGGAGACCTGGGAACCCAGTTTGTGGAACACATTAAAGAGTCTGGTTTTGGGCAGGTTAATTTGAGGTCTATGTTAGACATCCAGGTGAAAATGTCAAACAGGCTATTGTGTATGTGCCTGGAATGCAAAGCGAGGTAGAGATACAAATTTGGAGTCATTGATATATAACTGATACTTAAAGCTTTAGGACTACAGGAGATGATCCAGAGAGCAAATATAGACAGAGAGAAAAAAAGGTCCAGGGCTGGGTGTGGGATCTTCCCATGGTTATTGATTAGAAAGGTGAAATATCAGCAAAGGAGTCTGAGAAAGAGCGGTATGCAACACAGGAGGAAGACCTTGAGAACTGGAATCTCAGAACAAGAAGGATAAAGTATTTTAAGAAAAGGATGTGGACAACTGGATTAAATGCCTCGACAGATATGTGGAATGAGGATTGATAAGCACCCATTGGATCTAGCTACACTGAGGTCATTATGACCTGACAAGAGGTGTTTCTGTGGAATGTTAGATGCAGTCTCAAAACAAACAAACAAACAAAGTGTCTATGGTCAGAGGATTATAGTTTCCAGTATGGTTGAAGACTTACTGAACCTGAGTCCTGGAAGTACATAGGAAAGGATGATTAGAGAGTAGAATGCTTGAAATTGAGACCAGGGAGAGGCTAAGGTTATTAGTAATAAAAGGTCAAGGAATTCCTATGGAATGGGCGGTAGAGGAAGGTTAGAAGATAGGTCACTGGAAGTTTTCCCTTTTTTTTTTTTTTTTTTTGGTACTGGGGATCAAACTCAGGACCTTACGCTAGGTCACTGGAAGTTAACTGGCGAAAGGACTGAGAAGTCGGGGTACTGAATGGAATAATTATCTACTTGAATATTGAAAATACCAAGAATTATTGGCAGGGTTAGTTGAATGACCTTGGGCAAGTTATTTGGCTATTTGGTATTTCAATCTTCACATCACACATGGGGATAATAATGATTTCTGCATTTGCTGGGCTAAAGTAAAGATTGAGGTAAATGTATCTTAAGTGCTTACTGCAATACCCACCACATTTTAAGTGCACGATAAAATGACAGAAATGAGGGTTAAAGTCGAATTTCGGTCCCTAATAAAACTCAAAATTGAGCCCTAGTAAAATTTTCAAAAAGGGTGCCCTTACTTTTTATTAAATGAAAATTTTAAGGCTGTTCAGCAGAAAGAATATCTACTGCTTTTGAGAACCTTTCCATACTATTTTTTTGTTACTGTTTCTCAGAGTTTTCAAACACTCTGGAGAGATGGAGAGAAGAGTGGTAGCATTGATGTAGCTTATTTTATTTTTAAAAAATTTATTATTATTATTATTGGCTTTTTTTTAATGTATGTGGTGCTAGGGATTGAACACAGGGCCTTGTGCATGTGAGGCAAGGGCTCTACCACTGAGCCGCATCCCCAGTCCGAGTAGCTTATTTTAAAAATTAATTTAAAAATCTAATTAAGAACTCACTCAACATCTTCTAACAAGTTGTGTTTCCTTTAACTCTTTTATTTCTGTTTATTCCCAACAGAAGTCCAAATAGAGGAATCTGAAGAAATGTTGTGTGAAGAGGGCTTGTCGAAAATAGCCCTGAATGGCCCCAGTGAAGAGATTGCATACTTACTGGTAGAAAGAAGTACGCTCTTGGGGAAACTTGAACTTGCAGACTCCAAGTCAGAGTCTCAAAAACCTATGAGCAGTAACTCACAGAAGGAATTTCCCCAGGTATTCCAAAATTGAGTAAGGGCCAGTTTTAAATGTGTTCATTCATTTAATCATTCACTCTTTAAAATATCAGGAAGCCAGTTTAATCATGCTTCAGAATACAGGCTTTGGATTTAAAAAGATTTCCTCTGGCACTTAACTAGCGGTGTGTATTAGAACAAGTTAGTTAACGTTTGTGAGCCGCAGCTTCCACATCTATAAAGTCTGACGTCGACAAAAGTACGCCACAGGATGGTCCTGAGAATGAAATAACAACGTAGGTAAAGCTGTAGACTACTTCATACTTATTAATTAGCAGGACTGTTATTTATGGAGAACTTATGCCAGGCTTTTTACTACTGGATGTAGAAACAAATTGGAATTAAACTTGATCTGGACTCACACAGAACTTCTCAACTGATAGAGGAAGGAGATAAGAAAGGGGTTATAGTTCAGTGTAGAGAGTTCTAGGCTAAGGAAGGCACAGAAGGCTTGGAAAACTCAGGCCAAGTCGGAGAGGATGGGTACAGTGACCAATAAGGAGATGATGATGAGTAATGTTTTGAAAGCTTCCTGGATGTTAGCTAGATGGAGAGGCCGGGGAAGGCACTCCAGGCACAGGGAACAAAGTGGCCGATGTGTGTTGCTTCATGCGACTAAATGCAGAGAACTGTGGCTGGAACTAGTTTCAAGAACCACCTCCTAGTAAAACTCATAGGCTAAGCCAACAGCTTTGGATTTGACACCCATAATGTGCCTGGCATACACGCATACACTCATGCACACGCGCACACACAAACTTCTTGTGGTGTTGGGGGTTAAACCCAGAGCCTCATGCATGCTAGGCAAGCACTGTACCACTGAACTAAATACCCATCTCTTTTCATGTTTTAATTTTGAGACAGTGTCTTACCAAATTGCCCATGTGGACTTCTAATTTGTAATCATCCTGTATCAGCCTCCCAAGTAGCTGGGATTAGAGGCATGTACCATCATCCAGTTATACATGTGTTTTTGAATGAATAAGTGATTACTTTGTTTTAGAAGGTCTGAAAATCACTAAATGGTTTTAAGAGGAGAATTAACAATCTGATTTATGTTTCAGAAAAAGCTGAAAGACTAAACTTAATCTTTTAAGACTAACCATATCAAATGTTGGTGAGACTGTGAAGCAAATGGAATTCTCTAACCCTGTTGATAACTGTCTTGGTTACTCTTCTCTCATTGCTAAGACAAAATACCCAATATCCAAAACAGTTTATGGAGGTTTCAGTCCATACTCGGCCAGCTCCAAGGCAGGGTGGCATGGCCCAGGGGCAACAGTTCAAGGTGGCAGAACAGCAAAGCAACGAGAGAAAAGTGAAGGAAAGCAGCCCCTTTTCCTTCCTTGTATAGGTTATGTTCCTGGTAAGCAGTCCACCCGCCCCTCGGGGGCTGTAGCACTCACATTATCTCCATGTTCTCCTCTTGCAAAGGCTCAGGATGTTCACAAAGTGAGGAACTTGGCCCCCTGCTGAGTCGCTTAGACTTCTCAAGTTGACACAATGTATCAACCATTGCAAAAAATGATGTAAAATGATACAACTGCTTTGGAAAATAGTTTGGCATTTTCTTGAAAAGTTAGGCATACCACCAAACTCTGCCATTCAACTCCTTGGTATATACCCAAAAGAAATAGAAACATATGCCCACATCAAGACTTCTACATAACCTATAACAGCTTTAACTGTAATAAACCTGAAACCGGAAACCATTCAAATGTTCATCAGCAGATGAAGGTATTGATCTGTACATTGGAATATTAGTGATTAAAAAAGAATAAACACAAAATGGATAAATCTTAAAATAATCATCTGAATGAACGACAAAATGAGAATATAGTCTATAATACCATTTATTGAAAATAGAGAATAAAAGTTAATGTATAATAATGGGACCAGATCCGTGGTTGCTTGGAGACAGTGGCAGGGAAAGAATGAATTACAAGGGGGCACCAAAACTTTTTTGGAGTAAAGGACATTTTCCTTATTCCAGTTGTATTGATTCAATGAGTATGTACATGTGACAAAACATTGTACACTGTAAACATGTACAGTTGGTTATGTTAATTATACATTTAAAAAGTTTTAAAATAGATTTTCGGGGCTGGGGATTTAGCTCAGCAGCACAGTGCCTGCCTGGCAAGCACAAGGTCGTGAGTTTGATTCCCGGTACTGGAGAAAAACCAAAAAAAAAAAAAAAAAATTTTCTAAAGATGGTTTTTGAATTTGAAATGTAACTTGTTCAAATTTTGCTGCCTCCAGAGTTATATTTTGTGCAAGCTAATATTAAACTCATCTGTGCATAAAGCAAGCAGAAGAGTCATTCCATATAAAGGGACCTCATATGGTGACTTGGAAGCTCAAGAACTTTAGAAGGCCTGATCTGTTTGCCAACCATTTTTGAAATAATGTTTGCTTTAATTTTTTTTTTTTTTTACTTAAAGCACATAGTTTAAAAACACAAGCAAAATAAAGTAGAATTTTAAAAAATCATCTTACCCATATACTCAATTCTGTACTCCTAAATTACCACTAGCAACCATTTTTAATTGAACATTTTAAAATAAAAGTACAATCAACCGTTTTTATTTATCCTTTCTGAAAATTTCCATTCATTTAAAATACAAATTGTATGCAGTTACACATAGTTTTCCATATTTAGTGTGTATGTATCACCTTAGTCTTTTTTGACAACATTATATTCTTATGTATAGGTATATCAAAATGTGTTGAACTACTTTTTTGCTGATTGGCAGAGAATGAAGAGATGACATTTAATGCCAGTGATAATAGAAAATTTCTAAAAAATACTTTATTGTGAAATACATCATGTATGAAGAAAAATGATAAAACTTATGAGCTCCATTTAACAAATATAGAGAAAACAGCCAGTAACTGGGAGCCCTGTCAAGAATACACCGCTGATGGGGCTGGGGATTTAGCTCAGCGGCAAAAGCGCCTACTTGGCAAGCGCAAGGTCGTGAGTTCGGTTCCCGGTACCGGAGAAAAACCAAAAAAAAAAAAAAGAATACACCGCTGATACCTTAGAAATTCCCTTTGTGTTTTTCTGATCACAACCTTTATTCTTACAAAGGTCTCCATACCTAAAAATACATACAGCAGTATACTTTGCCTATCTTTTGAACATTATGTGAACTAGAGGATCAAATGTGTATTTATCCCTTAATTAGCTTGCCATTGGTATATATTATTCCACTGTGGGACTATGTGACAATGTCCATTCTACATTGATTTGACATTTCCTATTTATATCTGTTATGAACATATTGTTTTTTATCCACTTTGTCACTATGAATTGTGTAGGGTGTGTACTCAAATTTAGGGAACCAGACTATGTGGATGTTCATCTTTATCAAATTATGTCAAATTGTCTGTTTTTTTTTTGGTTTTGGTTTTTCTCCTGTACCGGGAACCGAACTCAAGACCTTGCACTTGCCAGGCAGGCACTTTTGCCGCTGAGCTAAATCCCCAGCCCCCAAATTGTCTTTTTAAGTAGCAGTTCCACTCTGTACTGCCACCAGTATTGTAAGAAGGTTCCTTTTCTCCTCAGCAGCCCTTAATATCATCAGACTTTCAAATTTTTGTGAACTGTTGGATGCGTCATGATATCTCATGTTGGTTTTAATTATTATTTCACTGAGCTGGGGGTGGTGGCACATGCCTGTATTCCCAGCAGTCGGGATGCTGAGGCAGGAGAATTGTTGCAAGTTCGAGGCCAGCTGGGCTACAAAGTGAGTTCAAGGCCAGCCTGAACTGCATAGGCAGACCCTGTCTCAAAAAGACAAAAAAAAAAGTTATTAATTCACTGATTACTAATGAAATTGGTATGGATATTGGTCATATGGATTTCCTATTTTGATAGTGCCCATCCCAGTCTTTTGCCTATTTTAAATTGTATTTTTAAAGTTGTATTTCAACTTGTATTTTTTATAAAACTCTGTATATATCAAGGTCCCCAGTCCTTTGCTGGTTATGTGTACGGCAAATACTTTTTCTCCTACTCTGTGTTTTTTTTTAACATTCTAAATGATGTCTTTTAAAGAATAAGAGTTATCAAATTTAATGTAGCTCAGGGCTGGAGATATAGCTCAGTGGTACAAGTGCTTGCCTGGCAAGAATAAGGTCCTGAGTTTGATTCCCGGTACCAAAAAAAACAAAAAAAAAATTTCACGTAGTTCAGTTTACCAATCTTTTATGGTTTTTCTGTTCTAATCAAGAACTCTTTACCTGGTAAGATTTTACAATTTTTCCCACAAATATCTTGCACATTTTTATTAGATTCAGTCCCAGGTATTTCATATTTTTAGACACTATTAATAGTAAATGCTATCTTTAAATTTTTTTTTAATTTTCTAATTAATTGTTGCTAGTATTTAAAACTATATTTTTACATATTGACTATCTAGTAATCTTGTCAAAATTTATCATTTACTTTAATAATTTATTCGTGATATAAAAATTTTTATATCTACATTTATCTCAAAATAGTGATATGGTTTTTCCTTTCTAAACCTTATTCCTTTTAAACTTTTTCTTGCCTTACTACACTGGCTAGTATCTCTAGTAACATATTAAATGGCAAACATCTTATTCTATTAATGATTTCAGAGAGAAAGCTGCCAGTGATTCACTATTAAAGATGATCTTTGCTGAAAGTTTTTCTTTTAAAAATAATATTCTTTGTTGGTTTAAGAAAGTTCACTTTTATTCCCAGGTTGCTAATGATTTCTTTTCTTTTTCTTTTGGAATCAATGCTGAATTTTACAAAAATTTTTTCTGTAGTATTGACTGGGATAATAAAATAATTTAGGACTTTAATCTGTTCATATGAGAATGTATTGATTTATTTTTCAATGTTTTTTGTTTTTTTTTTATTTTTCAATGTTAAAATGACCTTGCATACCTGGGATAAATCCATCTTGTTTATGATATATTATCCTTTATAAAATTATTAAGTTTGGTAGAATTTTTTAAATTGTGCATCTGTGTTTATGAGTGAGATTCCAATGTGATTCTTCAATTAAAGCTGCTGTAGCATGTACAAGTCTTTATGTGGGCACATGCTTTCCTTTGTCTTGGTTATATAGCTAGGAATATAATACGGAATTGTATGAGAAGTATATTTAACTTTTAACTTTGTCAGATTTTAATATCCATCCCAGTATTAATCAACCTGCTTTACATTGTTGCCTCTCTAAAGCAGCTTTTTAGGTAATTTTTCCTAATTATTCTCTCCTTTTTTTTTGTACCGGGAGTTAAACTCATGACCTCTCTAATTATTCTCTCATGGAACTTTAATACTACATTTTCACAATATATTTATGTCCTATAGATTTATTTTTAAGAGTAATTTTAAAAGTTTCTTTAGGAATCAGTATTGACTGGTTGATAATCTATTATCTAACCTCATAAAATGGATTAGACTAAGGCTTTTTTTGATATAAATTTGTTATCATTTTGGATATAAGCTGATTTTTATTCATGAAGATTGATTAATGTAAACTATATTTATTTCTTGATTTTAGTTAAGGAAAAATTTAATAAATCCATCATTCTCTGCAAAGAGAACATCAAGAACCTGAGCAGCAGCCCCCCCAAAATCTAAGTGTTATTTTAAACAATTGTAATCCTTTACTCAATAATAGCTAATTACAAATAAGCTTTTAGCTGAATTTGTCCAAATGTAAAAAAAAATATAGATTCCTACTGTAAAGAAGATCAAATTGTGCATAAAAACATCACAAAAGTTGGGGAGCAAGAAAATAATCATCACCCCAAATCAGCAATAGCTGATTTTCATTGAATGTATTAATGTTTAAATAATGAATATGTGTTATAGACTAAGGAGGTTGAGGCAGAAGGATTGCAAGTTGGAGGCCAGGTGGGCAGTTTAGTGACTTGTTTCAAAAATTTTCTTTAAAATCTAAGATAAAGAAAGGGCTGGGAATGCAGCTCAGTGGTGGAGCGCTTGCACAGCACATACAATGCCCAGGTTCAATTTCCCAATACCACAGAAGAATAAAATCACACTGGGAGTTGAGGACATAGCTCAGTGGTAGCAGAGGTGTCTACCATATGCAAGGCCCTGGATTTGATCTCCTGCACTTAAAAAAAATCACATTCAGACTATACATACTTCTTCACACATATATTTAGAATTCCTAGCTGGGTATAGTGGTGCAGGACTTTAATCCCAGCACTCAGGAGGCTGAGGCAGGAGGATTGCTGTGAGTTCAAGGCCAGTCTGGGCTACAAAGTGAGTTCAAGGCCAACCTGCATAATGAGACCCTGTCTCAAAAAAAAAGAATCCTCTTGAGGAATTCTTTAGAATCTGTATCATGCTATATCAAATATAACAGACTCTTCTCATGGAATTTAATATCTTGATCTGGGGAAATATTATATACATAAGAATATGTATACTGAGAATTTAACCATGAGAAGTAACCAAAGTAAGGGAAATATATATAATATGTAGATGAAACTATATATCATAGCATTACTTTCAACAGCAAAACTGGATACTATCCATGATTATAAATGATTATATAAATGGCATATCTACTCTGGAATACTACGTAACTTTAAAAAACATTATTACAAAGTCTAGGGGCTGGGGATATAGCTCAGTGGCACAGCATCTACCTCGCAAGTGCAAGGTCCTAAGTTCGATTCCCAGTACCAAATAAATAAATAAATAAATAAATACTGAGATGATTTACATTTAAAAATGGCTAAGCAAAGTCTATACAGCAGGCTGGGAATATAGCTCATCGGCACAAGTGCCTGCCTAGCAAGCACAAGGTCCTGAGTTTGATTCCCAGTACCAAAAAAGAAAAGTCTCTACAGCAGTGTAGAAAGATATTCCTGATATGATGCTAAATTTTAAAAAGCCAGAGAGAAGCTTGTACATAGGTTGGAATTATGGTTGTAAAAATCTATGTTAATAAAAAATATTGCAAAGAAATATAGTAATATAGAAATATAGAATGTATTTTTTCTATAGTAGTATAGAAATATAGTAATGTTCAAATTGGTTTTGATATATAGATGGTATTTTGGGTTTTTAATCTCAGAAAAAACTGTAATTCTTATATAATAATCTCTTGAGGATCAAAAGCAAAATATAACTGAGACTAAATTTCTTATCTCTTAAAGTATTTGGAAATAATTGCAAAAGAGGGGCTCTAAATAGAATTTGAAACTTGTCAAGTATGTGCATGCTGTGACATTAAATGAAATACTTAATGTGAAAGCATTTTGTATGCTGCATTTAAGGTATTATATAAATAAGGAATATAATCTCAGATGATATTGTTTTTGTGGTTAAATTCCTGTTTTTATAATCACAAACATGAAATTATATGGTTACAAATAAAAACAAAATTCAATTTTATTTAGTTTAACCTAATAAAAAATGTACATGAATGAAATGTTTGCTACTTTTTATTGGCTTTTAAACATCATAGAAAATAGTGAAATATCATACAAGTACATTTACTGTTTGTTTTATTACTAACAGTAGTTTCATTTCAGTCTCATAGTGAAGACCTGGGTAAAGATAAAACACCACAAAACTGCGTAGAGAGAGATGCCGAACACATAGCAAACAGGTTGGGGATGGCCCAGGAAGAGATCCAAAGGCTCACGAATAAACTGCAAGTAAAGGAGAAAGAACTGAGTCAGTTAGGTGAGCGGTGGTTTCCGATGACCATTTCTGACCATGTTTTAAGTTCAGAAATGAAAAGTTCACTGATCTTTTCTCAAAGTGGAACATAAGAAAAAGTAGAACAGAAGTACACTTCCTCTCCCTCTCTTTACTCTCCCTTTCTTCCCTCTGAGGCAGGAGGATTGCTGTGAGTTCAAGGCCATCCGTCTCCCCCTCCCTCTCTCTCTCCCTCCCCTCCCCTCCCCCTCCTCCTCCCTCTCCTTCTCTTTTTTCTATCGGTCTGGCCCACATGTGTAAGGCCTTTTCTTCACTACAAGATTATTGAAAATGTTTGTTTGTTTCTTTAGTACTTTTTGGCTTTTAGTTTGTATTTAAATTTTTGCTTTATCTAGAATTTAGTATGAAGCTTAAATTTTTAAGTCATCTGTTTTCTATATTTATAATTTGAGATTAAAGAACTCAGGCTGAGTCTTCTTCAGATTCAGTATGCAAGGTCTGGGAATTTAGCTCAGTGGCGCAGCGGCTGCCTGACAAGCTCAAGGTCATGAGTTTGATTCCTGGTACCAGAAGAAAAAACAACACAAAACAAAACAAAAAAATTCAATATGCAGGTTACTTTAGGATCATAAACATTTTTTAAAAAGCCAGGCACAGTGCTGCACCTCTGTAATTCCAGCTACTCATGAGACTAAAGCAGAAAGATCGCTGTAAGTTTGAGGACTGCCTGGGCAGGCAAGTTAGTGAAATGCTGTCTCAAAATAAAAGGGGCTGGGGAGGTAGCTCAGTGGTAGAGCACTTGATGAGCGTGTTTGGGGGTATGGGTTCAATCCCAGTACTTAAAAAAAATTCAAAGACAAGTTATTTGAAATTTGCTTATTATCACTAATCATTTGCCCGCCCCCCAGGACTGGGTATCAAACCCAGGGCCTGCAAGGAGGCACTCCACCACAGAGCTGCACACTCAGGCCTCATTTTCTTCTCACACAAATATTTCCTTCCTGTTTTCTTTTAGATTCTGCACTTGAGAAAGCTCAACTAGAAATTGGGAAACTGAAAGAAAATCTCATAAAATTGAAAGAAAATGGTGAGTCATTCCAGCAGATATAATAATATATTAAATAATAATATCTTCTATATTAAATATTTCTAAATAACATTAGTAATTAGAATAATAAGTACTACTACTAGTGTTGCTACTGCTGCTATTGCTATTACTCCTACCAACACTTATTGCCTACTAAGTGCCCACACTGCACCTAGGTTATCGGTAACACTCACAACAATTCCAAATAGTGGTTATTATTCATTTTGTAGGTAAGGAAACGGAGTCATCCCAAGGTTAAGTGTGTCAGCCAAAAGCTACATTAAATATTACAGCTATTGTTTGAAACCTTCTGTCTGACCAAATCATACATATTTTACCAGGGTCACAGACCAACACACTTTATAATGCATTTAACACTTTATATGTTTGTTCACTAGGAAGCCAGTGGTTCTGGAATCAATGGTGCATTAGTCAATCTGACCTTAGCCTGGCTCTCTAAAAATGCCACCAGCTGTCAGCGTTATAACAAAATCTGAGTATTTTAATAGTAATAAATATAAAATATATTTACCATTTTTATATAATTCCAAAATTAGGTACAACTTCCTTTTCAAAAATATATGAATATGATTATAAAATGAACACTGCTTTCTTAGTAACTGATAGACCAAGCAATCAGAAAGCAGTAAAGAGATAGAAAACCTACGGTACTTCCTCCCAATGCAACCTAGTTGATATTTATAGAAAAACTACACCAGAATATACATTCTTCATGTACCTGTGGAACCTTCGCCAGGAGAGACCGCCTGAGCCAATAGAGGAAATCTCTTTGGAAAATCTGAAATCATACAAATTCTGTCTTTCACCATAACAGAATTAAACTAAAGGTGAATTCCAGAAATTCATTTTTAAAATCCTCAAATATTTAAAAATTAAACAGTATACTTCTTAATAGTCCCTGCCCTTAGAGAAAAAATTTGAAAGGGATATCAGAACATATTTTGAGATGAATAAAATGAAAACATAATATTCTCAACCTTTGTAAAATGCAGCTAATTTAGTATGTGGGGAGACTCTTACTGTATTTAATGTTTATACTGGAAATTAAGAAAGAGCACAGAGGGGCTGGGGATTTAGCTCAGCGGCAAAAGCGCCTGCCTGGCAAGCGCAAGGTCCTGAGTTCAGTTCCCGGTACCAGAGAAAAACCAAAAAAAAAAAGAAAGAGCACAGAATAATGTAAACTTAATATCACAAATCCCAAGAGGGCAAATTAAATCTAAAGCAATCAGAAGAAAGGAAATATTTACATAGGGATTAGATCAAATAAAACTAAAAACAGGACTACCATAGAGCAAATCAGTGGAACATTGAGCTAGTTTTTCAGAAAGGTCAGTATCACTGATAAACTACTAACTAGACTGATCATGACAAAAACACAAATTAACTTTTGTTAATATTAATGAAAGAGAAAATGTTTCTATAGACTAAAGAGATAATAAGTAAATATTATGAATAACTCTGTGCCAATAAGTTTAATGGCCCGAATGACATAGACATGTTCTTTACAAAACAAATTCCCAAATTTCATTCAAGCCCTAAATTCATTAAGTAAATTGAATTTATAGTTTAAAATATTCCCACAAAGAAAATTCTAGGCTCAGATGGTTTCATTAGTGAATTCTAACATATGTATAAGGAATAAATAATACTAATTTTACATAAATTCTCACAAAAAAAATTAAAGAAAGAGGAGTAATTTCTAACTTTAAGTGACCAGCATTGCTGTGATACCAAACCCAGTCAGACATTTCAGTATCCCTAATGAACATAAATGTACTTAGAAAATTATAGGTAGTAAAAAGTAACTTGTTGGATAGTCAAATACAACGTGCTGAACAAGAATGGACTGGTTAAATAAGGGGCTGCACAAGCGAACACCTTGAAGTTAGTACTAAAGATGACACAGAGCTAGGTGCACTAGTATGAATAGATGTGTGATATATTACCAAGTGAAAAAAGCAAGTTGTAGAGTAGCATGTCCGGTATAGTGTCAATTAGGTTTTCATATTTGAGTTTGGGGTGTGTGTATCCTTTCATAGGCTCACTCTGAGCTGGTGTACACTAGGATGGCAGTGGAATTGCAGTGATGCTGGGGTAATTTCATGAACGTTGTAAGTAACTGCTGCCCTGAGTCTATAATTCATTTGTGATCAATAAAACAATACTTATTCCAGTTATTCCATTGTTCCAATGTACTTTTAAAATTTGTGAAGATTAAACATGCTGGTAGTATTCAGTGTGCAGAAATGGGCAGTGTCACACTTGGTTGTAAGAATGTAACTTTGTGCAATTTTTTGAAGAATAATTTGACAACAGGACATATTTAAAAATTTATTTTTATTTACCTATTATACATTTTAAAATGCACATCTCCTTTGGCCCAGCTATCCCATTTCTGATCCTTTTGCTTGTTTGATGGTGCTGAGAATTTTTAATTTTTATTTTTATAAGTATGTTTGCAGTACATAATGATTATATTCATCATGGGGAGTGGTGCGGGTAGATAATATATCTTAATTCTTTTTATGTCCCCTTCCCCTGCTTCCCTCCCCCTTGCCTCCACCTCTTAGTCTTCTTCCCATTTGCAAAGAGCTTTCTCCCTGTTTTTATTACTATGGGTCCCGAGAATTGTGGAATTTGGTTTTTATAAATAATGTTAAAGACTGATGAACGAGGACAATGACTTCAGCATTGTTTGCAAGACATTTGCAACAACCTAAATCAAAACACTGGTCAGTAGAGAAAAAGTGACACAAATTACGGCACATTTGGGCAGAAGAATCCAGAATGAAATGGGAGAATAGAAAACTAATTGTGTTATAAAATTAAATACTACTCTGCAGTAAAGAGGAACACAGTAAGGATGCAAGAATACAGAAGAATTTATGTTTATGTTGAGTGAAAGACGTCAGGCACAAATACTACAAAGACTGTAGGATTCCATCTAGGTGACAGTCAAGAACAAGCAAAATTAATCTGTGGAGACAGGAGTCAGAAAGTTGCTGTAGGGATAAATGATAGTAGAAAACTTAGTGCAAGAGACATGAAGAAAGTATCTGAGGTAATGAAAATGTTCTCCTTGCTTTTTGGATGAAGTTCATGGATATGCAAAATTGTAAAAGTTAACTGAACTGAACACTTAAGATATGTTCTCTGTATTAAATGTAACTGAAAAAAATAGTTCCAAATAAGAAATGGGAAAAAAAAGCTTCATAACGATTGCTCTGTAACAATAACACTTAACCCCAAGTGGTTAAGTTGCAGATAGTACTGGATAACGTTGTTTCTTAAAATATTGCAGAGGCAAGGGCAAACTCCTATCGTGTATGTTGGTGTGTGTCTCTGTGTGTGTGTGTGTGTGTGTGTGTGTGTGTGTGTGTGTGGTGTATATATGTATAGAGTGTATATTTTTTAAAGAAGTAAAATTGTGAATGATTATTAGTGTTTTCAATATTCCTCAAATTAAAAAAAAAAATCTAAGGTGACAAAATAGAGTCAAGCAAGGGAGAAATAAAAGAAAAATTAATATAGGACAAAAATGAAACAAGCAATAAAGAAGGAAAGCAAAGGTAACTTAAAAGCAGCAAAAGAAAAACGAGAAACAAATTAAAAATGGTGCCAGGCATGGTGGCGCACACCTGTAATCCCAGCACTCGGAAGGCTGAGGCAGGAGAATTGTTGCAAGTTTAAGACCAGCCTGGACTACAAAGTAAACTCAAGGCCAGCCTGAACTTCATAGTGAGACCCTGTCTCAAAAAGACAAAAAAAAAAAAAAAAAAAAGCTGAAAACAGGGAAGTTCCAGGCAGCAGGTTTGTACTATCGAAACCTTGGTGAGTGTTGATCTTAACAGGTCTTAACCAAGGTGGACCTCTCTCTTTCTCTAAGCAGAGAGGGGACCGCTATTTTATATGTACTGGTAGAGGCAGAGAGATGGATTTGAAGGATCAACTTTATTTAGCTTGCAAAACCTGACCACTCATTGCCCTTAGCTCACCGCTTCAGTCATCTATGGAGCCTACTACTGATGAGCCGAAGTGTCTAGAAACTTCTCAGGTGTGTGAAAGGTAGGATGAAAGGGAAGCTAGGAAGATCATTTTCTCAGTCACTTAACTTTCAGAAGGGAAGTTCGTCTGTTTTAAAATTCCACATCCTAGCAGTCTCTACTGCTAGAAAAGCTACACTCAAGAAGTCTAATTCAGGGGCTGGGGATTTAGCTCAGCGGCACAGTGCCTGCCTGGCAAGCGCAAGGTCGTGAGTTTGATTCCTGGTGCCGGAAAAAAAAAAAAAAAAGAAGTCTAATTCATTAGTCTAGTGTGGGGAATAAAGATTTTCTGTTCTGTCTCTGTAGGTTGGCAGAGCGTTCCAGGACTGCACTTGAGAGTCAGTGCCTCTCCTATGCAAAACCACGTATGCACGTGCAGGGCAGGACTGAGAAGAGGGCTGGAAATGGCACTGCAGAGGTTTTTACGTGTGCCTCCCCAGCTGAAACTGTAACCCAGGTTAGCCAGCTGTGTCCTTGTCTCTGTTTCAGATACAATTGACCTACAGAAAGCAAAAGAGCATAATCAGAGACTGGACGAGGAAATTTTGGCCTTAAGAAGCCGGGTTCGAGCACTTGACTCAGAAAAAAAAGTGCTTGGAGAAATGGTAAGTGTATTAGTTAGGGTTCTCCAGGCGAACGCAATCAATGGGAAATATGTATATATATATATATGAAGATTTATTAAATAAACTTACAGGATGAGAGATGAGATAGTCCACAATGGTAGGAATCCAGCTGCTCAACGCAAAAATCTGGAAGCCGCTGAACAAGAGGGCTTAATGATGTAAGACCAATCTCATACTGAAGCCCTGGAAACTCCCTGGGGAGCTGTCATTCTGACTCTGTGTTGAAAGACCTTAGAATAACTGAAATCTGAGGTCCACAGGCAGTGACAGTAGGAAAACACGCCCCCACTCAAACCGAATGAAACTTGTTATAACACAGGCGGACTTCTTCCTACTTCCCATTTGTTGCATCCAGGCTGCAAGCCGATTGGACGGTGTCACCCGCATTAGGCTGGTTCTTCCCACTCTGTTTCCTGACCCATAGGCCAGCAATCGCTAGACCCTTCCACAGATATGCCCAGCAGTGTGCCTTACTAATGTTCTAGTCTGTTAATCCAGGCGATCTGATAATCACCGTAAACTGTCACCGTAAATTTAATTTAGTTCTTGGGATTTATTTATTGTTTCTGCAGTAACAGTCAGCAGCTTGAGTAACACAGATACACATCACCTAAATTCATCCTTCAGGAGAACTGATACTTATGGTTACAATATCTCTGCTTACAAATCCTACTGTAATTTGACTTAGGTACAGTCTACTGATGTTTGCATTTTATACATGTTTAACTACATATGCTAAACAGTAACATTATTGCTATCACATGAATCTAGAGGCTTTTCTTTTTAGTAGGCTTATAGTTAACCCATTTACCAAACACAAAACATGACTCTATTGTTTGGATATGTTTGGGATTCTTAACACTAAGCCCTTAGTTGTATTCTTTTTAAACCACTCCTTCTTAGCAATTTATTGATTTTTAATGTATACTTCCAAATTCTGCAATGTCTCTTCAATTGTAGTTTATACTAATTTCACAATCCTATTGCTAATGTTAAACACAGTATTAGCCTGGTATAATACGAGACACTGTAGAAATTTTGTTTTGAAAATGAGTAAATACCCACTGGACCAATCACTAGTGAAATAACAGAAGGTAACACATGCTGATGAGAATGTAGAGCAATGGGAATCCTTGTGCATTGCTGGTGGAAATGTAAACTACTGCAGTCACAATGGAAAACAGTACAGAAGTTTCTCAAACAATTAAACCAATAATTACTGTGCGACCTTATAATTTCACTTCTGGGTATATATACCCAAGAAACTGAAGCAGGGACTCAAACATGTATTTGTACACCCATGCTCATAGCCACGTTATTCACAGCAGCCATAAAGTGAAATCCATCTGATGTGGTGACACATGCCTGTAAACCCAGCACTTTGGGAGGCTGAGTCAGGAAGATTGCAAATTTGAGCATAGCTTGGGCAAGACCTTGTCTCAGGCACCCAAAATGAAAGGGATGGGGATGGCCCTGAGTTTAGTCCTCTGTACCAAAATAAAAAAAGTAGAAGCAACTCAAATGCCCACAATAAATAAAAAAGAAAAATGGGGTACATATATATAGCAGCATATTATTCAGTCTTAAAATAGAAGGAAGTTCTGCCTTATGGTTCAACATGAGTAAATCTTGAAGACAGTATGATAAAAATAATAAGCTCACCACAAAAGAACAGATAGTATGTGATTCTGCTTATGTGAGGTCCTTGGAGTGTCAAAATCGTAGAGTAGAATCATGGAGTAGAATGGCGGCTGCCAGGGACCAGAGGAGGGAGCAGTAGTGAGTGTCGTGTCATGGGTAGAGAGTTTCACTGCAAGGTGAAGAGAGATCTGGAGATGGGTGGTTGTACAGCCGTGTGAATGTGCTTCCTGCCACTGACCTGTGTGCACTTAACAGTGTTTAACATGCTGCATTTTGTGTTATATGCATTTTGTGACGATGAAAAATACAACTTTAAAAAAGAATGAATAAACACGAAGATTTTTAAGGTATCCTAGTCTTTGTAAATTAGGTACCTAGTACCTCTGAATACAGCTAAATGTTTAATACAAGTGTGTTTAGCCATGAAAAGGGCAGGAAGGGCACGTCCCAAGCAGTGGCACTTCTGGAACGGAGGTGCAGTGTGAAAATACTACCTTTTAGCCTGTATCTATGTGTTGTAGATGTTTTACAAGAAGAAAACTTTCATGTATTATTTACGTATTTTTTAAACAAAGCAATAATGTAGTTAATAATTGAGAAGTCTAAAAGACGTTTACTTTTGTATTTAAGGTTGAAAAACTTAAAGCAGAGATGTCTGAATCTCCAAAGAATAAGCAACTGGGAAACCACTCCCCTGAAAAAACTGTGGGTCCTGAACAGAAAGTACAGGTATTTTAAAGTTCCGCATTTTCTGATTTCTAATTTTTAAATGAGTTACATTTCTATAGAGTATATTAGAGCAATTGGTGCTAATCATTTGCTACTTTCTTCTCCCTATGATTTTTGTATTGTTCAGCCAAATAGAGGGGAAGAAGAAATTGGGATATAGGTGGCATTTCTTCCCACAGAGAACAATTAATGTTAAGAATGTGGTAGATTGTTTCATAGGAGCATTTTAAATCATCAAAGAGAGCTGTTTGTAGAATCAACCAATAGTAGAGTGTGGGCGGGTTGTTGGAACCATACTGAACTTAATTAAGTGTTGCAGACAATTGATAAAGTGTAGGCTCCAATGTGTACAACATCCAGTTCTTCTACATGACCGGCCTTTGAAGTACTGAGCAAAGCAGTTAAACTCAAGACAGATTGAAGTAAGTACCAATATGTACCTAGTAGGTAATGGTAGTAATTCATTGTGGCTTTAATTGCCTTTTTTGAGGGTGTCTTAATGACAATGGATATATTCTATACACTCATTGACCATTTGCATATGTTCTTCTGTGAGGCATTTGCTCGTATCTTTTACTCATTCTTAATGGTTTTATATGTGTTCTTTACACTGAGTTGTAGCCATTCTTTACTTTGAATACTGGTCTTTTGAGAGGTATATGTAGTGTAGTTACTTTCTCTCAGCCTATGCCATGTATTTTCGTTTTCTTAACAGTGCCTATGAAGAGTAAAAGTTTTAAAGATTTGATTCATCAGTGTTTTCTTTTATCATTTTGTGATAGGACCTGAAATGCCTAGCTACATAGTCGTTTTTACCCTAAGCTCACAAAATATATTTCTTATACTTTCTTCTAAAGGTTTTATTTTTTTCTAAAGGTTTTATAGTTGTAGTTTATACATTTAGATTTATGATCTATTGCAGTTAAGATTTGTATATGCTGTGAGATAAAAGTTAAATCTCACTCATTTCCAAATGTATATCCAGTTGTTGCAGAACCACTGTTGAAAACACAGTTATTTCATTATTTAATTACACTGGCACCTTTACATTGGGTCTACTTCTAGACTATTCTATTCCATTAATGCATGTGTTTATTCTAAGGACAATTATATGTTATAGCTTTATTATAAGTCTTGAAATCAGAAAGTGTAACAGCTCCAATTTGTGTGAAGTTTGCTTTTTCAAAGTTGTCTTGCATCCCATATATATATTAGGGGGCCAGGGATATAACTCAGCAGTATAAGCACTTGCCTGGCAAGCCTGAGGTCATGAGTTTGATTCCTGGTATCAAAAAGAAAAAAGAAGGGCCATATATATATTAGAATCAGCTTGTCAACTTTTACATAAACACCTGCTTGGATTTTGATTGTATGGTAATCTTCAGGCCAATTTAAGGGAGAATTACATTCAAATAACAATGAACCCTCAACTCCATAAATGTGGTATATCTTTTGATTCACTTGAGTCTTCTTTAGTTTATCTCATCAGTGTTTTGTAACTTGTAGCACACAGATTTTATACATATTTAACTAAATTTGTTCCTCTTTAAAACTAAAATATATTGGGCTGGAGCTATGGAGCCCAGTGGTAGAACACTTGCTTAGTATGCACAAAACCCTGTGCTTGATCCTTATCACTGCAAAAGAAAAAAGTTGAAATTTACCACCATAAAATTTACATAACTTTTTAGAGTATGCCATTCAGTGGTTTTTAGGATAGTCACAAAATTATGCGACTATTACCAGTACCTAATTCTAGAACATTTTCATTACTCCAAGAATACCCACTGGTTACTCATTGCTTATTTCCTCTCCCTCCAGCCTCTGGAAACCACTGAATTATTTTCAGCCTCCATGAATTTTCTTATCTGGTACTTTTTTTTTTTTTTTTTTTTTTTTTGGGCTTTTTCCCGGTATCAGGAATCGAACTCACAACCTTGCGCTTGCCAGGCAGGCACTGTGCCATTGAGCTAAATCCCCAGCCCCTATCTTGTACATTTTATATAAATGGGAATCATTTAAAAATGCAGTCCTTTGGGGGCTGAAAGTTTAGCTCAGTGGTATATCTTTGCCAAGTATGTACAAAGTCCTAGGTTTGGTCCCCAGCACTGGAAAAAAAAAAATGCAGTCTTCTATGTGTAACTTCTTTTTCTTTTTTTAATGTGTACCTTCTTTCACTTGGCATGTTTTTAAGATTCATCATTACAGCATGAACCAGCACTTTAAGTCTTTGATAGCTGAATGATATTTCACTGTATAGATATATACTACATTTTGTTTATCTATTTATTGACTGAATGTTTGATAGTTTCCATTTGTGGCTATTATGAGTAATGCTGCTGTGAATGTTCATTTTCAATTTTTTTGGGGGGGGGACATTTGTTTTCATTTCTCTGGGAATATATTTAGGAAAGAAATTACTGGGTTATATGAAAACTCAACATTTAACATTTGAGAAACTGCCACACTGTTTTCCAATGCAATGTACCATTTTATGTTCCCATCAGCAGGGTTCTAATTTCTCCACCTCATCCATCAACACTTGTTATTATTTATAGTTTTTTGGTTTGTTTGTGTGTAACTCACGGCCTTGCACTTGCCAGGCAGGCTCTGTGCCGCTGAGCTAAATCCCCAGCTCCAACCCTTGTTATTATTCATAGATATATTTTTGTGGTCCTGGGAATCAAACCCCCAGGAGCATTCTACCTACTGGGGTAGGAAGGGGATGGAAGCTACATCCCCAGACCATATATATATTTATGTATATGTATGTATTTTTAATTTTGAGATAGGGCCCCACTAAATTGCTCACGTGAAACTTGAATTTAAGATCCTCTTGCCTCATGTTCCCAAGTGCTCAGATTATAAGCGTGTACCATTGTACCCAGCTTATTATCCATATTTTTATTTTAACTATCATAGGGTATGAAGTAGTACTTCAACATGGTTTTAATTTTCACTTCCTGAACAACTAATGATATTAAACATCTTGTCATATACTTATTGGCTATCTGTATCTCTTCTTTAGAAAATGTCCTTCAAATCATTTGCATATTGTAGATGAAGCTATTGGTCTTTTTGCTGCTGAGTTTCAGGAGCTCTTTATATCTTCTACATGTTAGTCTCTTTTATGAATTGAATTGTGCCTCACCAAAAATATGTTGAAGCCCTAACTCCTAGAAGCTATGAATGTGACCCTCTTTACAATAGGGCCTTTGCAGATGTAACCCAGTTAAAATGCAGTTATTAGCATGGGCCCTAGCCCAGTATGACTGGCAATTATAACAAAAAGAAATCCCAGGTAGACATATGTGGGGAGAATGCCATGCCATAGGACGACAAGGCAATATGTGGGGAGACTGGAATGATGTTGCTGCCAGCCAGGGACATCAGAGGGTGACAGTGCTACAAGAAGCTGCGGTGAGCAAGACTGGATTCTACCAGAGTCTCCCTTTCCCCTGGTCCTGTTAATGCTTTGGTTTCAGATTTCCACCCTTCAGAACTGTGAAGGAATAAATTTGTGTTGTTCTAAGCACCCAGACTGTGGAACTTTGCTAAGCTAACCCTAGGGAATGAGTACAGACTTTGGCAGCTGACAGTAAGGTCCTCATGTTAATAAATATCTGAAAATATGGAATTGGCTTTGGAATTGGTTAACACTGTACAGGCTGGGAGAATTTTGTTTTTGTTTTTTGTCTTTTTGAGACAGGGTCTCACTATGCAGTTCAAGCTGGCCTTGAGCTCACTTTGTAGCCCAGGCTGGTCTCGAACTCACAACGATCCTCCTGCTTCAGCTTCCCAAGGGCTGGAATTACAGGTGTGCCACTGTATGCAGCAAAGCTGGGAGGAATTTGACATGCTTGATAGAAAATGCCTGCATTGCCTTGAAAAGACTGTTACTATGATATAGTTTGAATAAGGGCATCTGTGGTGGTCTGCTTGATAATGCTTATTAAACTGTTTACTTCTATTAAATTTTTTTTGCTTCCCAAACTCAATAATTTTTATAGCCCCATTTTCAAGTTTATTAAGTCTTTCTTTTGCCTGCTCAAATTTGCCTTTGAATTCCTAAAGTAAATTTCAGTTATTAGAGTTTTCAGCTATAGAATTTTTGTTTCTCTTCTCTTTATTGATGTTTCTATTGTATTCACACATCATTTTCTTGACATTCTTTGTATCTCTTTTAGCTCATTAAGCATCTTTAAAATAGTTGTTTTAAAATCTTTATGTAGTCGATTTACCATCTGATCTTTTTCAGGGTCAGTTTCTGCTTCTTTTCTTTTTCTTTTGGGTGGGCCGTACCTTCATGTTTCTTTTAATTCCTTATGATCTTTTTGTTGTTATTGTCGAAAACTGGACATTTGACTCTAACACTGTAGTAAGTCAGGAAATCAGGTTCTCTGCCTTCTCCAGGTTTTGTTACTGCTGCTGTTGTTTTCCCCTGTTTACTTGTTCATCGGTGTGGTCAGATTAACCAGAAGTATAAACTTCAGATCTCGGCAGATCTTTTCTAAGCAAGTGCCTTTTCCTTGGCATATGCAGAGACTTTCCTGTTTTCCCTGTGTATGCAGGTGCATTTGAATGTACTACTCTTTAGCATCTAGCTTCAAAAAGGGAAAAACATAGAAATGAACCACAGGAGGAAAAGAATACTGATCTTTTAAATCTCCTGGACGTTGCTTCAGCTGGAGAGGAAGGAGCTCGTGGCGATAGGTAGGGGTGTAGAAACAATGGCTGCCCAGCTCTGAGTCTGGACCTACATGAGTGGAAGCAGAGTTAGCCATCAGTGCCCTCAGATCCCCTGTATCTGAAGGACAGGGTCTTTGCTGCTCACCCTGACTCCCACAGATTGCATGTAATCTGCTTCAGGAACTGCTTCGTGCTGCCTGCCACGGGACTGGGGGTTAGGGGACAGTTGCTGCACCAAGAGCTAATTGATTGAACTTTATAGCAATTTAACATCAAAACCCTTTCTCTGGACGTTACAACCATTCCGTAGA